AGGAAATGCAAGCTCGTGTTCCGATACAGCCGTCTCGTATTGCATTTATTGAAGTAAAACGAATACAAATATCGTTTAAATCGGATTATTGATACAAACAATTGCTGTTTCTTTAGTATCAGTCGATTTTAAATAATAAATGTATACCAGATTACCTTGTACGAGGTTTTTATTGCTAAGAATAAACAAAATATAAAAGTTTTTACTTACCTAGTTGATACGAATTGCGTAAAACTTTTACCTTATGTAGCCAGATAGGGATTACAAAATACTCGGAAAAATACACAATTATAACGGCGATGGTAGTAAAAATGTTTAAATTATCAGTAGTTTTTAAATGTTTGAATTCAATGTGCAAAAAAAAATGTTTCATATTGTTTAATTTAAGGGAGGTTCTTACACAGTCTTTACAAAAAAATAATTAGCGAGCTATGTCGAAAAGTAGTTCATAGAGGTGTAACATATTACGAGCGCCATCTGTTATAGTTAAAGTGTACTGTAGTTGCTTAGCAGAAATTTAGTGACTAACAATTTAAATTTGATTCTTTCTTTTCCACACGAATAATTTGATATGTCCCCTCTGTTTTCTTTTCTCTTCAGTGTACTGAAATTTGTCTAATTGTAACGGTAGGATGCAAAAAATAAAAAAATTATATCAGTATATAAATTTTAACAATTTACATTATTAAGTTTAAAATGCTCAATATTCTAACGAAACAAAAGCCAAACTAAGATATTTGGTCCGTTAAGGGAAGGGGTTCTTGAGGTTGGTTCTATCAGAAAACATCTAAAACCTATATAAATACCATAAAAATGTCATAAAACGGCGCTATTGAGCTATGATAATTTAATTTCACTTGTGCCAACTGGGTCAATTGTATCTTGTACGTTACCTTGAAAAATAGTGGGCGTAACATTAACTATTTCTTCTAAGGTATCCATTTTGTATACTTATACCTTTCAAGTAACGTTTCTAAGTGGATTATCTACCAACGTGACATCTATAAAGAATACACGTTACTTATACTTTACTCATATTTATTTTAATGTCATTCTTGAGGCTTACAACTCTTATATTTGAGTCTTTTATTTACGTGATACTTCTACAAACATTTACGTGTGAATTACGAGTTTCATGTCAAGTAGTCGAAAATTATATGAAAGTGTAAGTTAAATCGCGTAGTAGTTAATTGGGTTCAATTTCAATTAGTTGTGATGCTGAGCGTGCGATGCCGTTAGTTTTGTACAATGCTGCTCCGCTCCGGTGGCTACGTCAGATAATGCGCCCACAATTTACTGGGGATCCGGCGATGACGATACTTTGAGACACTCCGTTATCTATCTATAATCATATCTGACGTTTGACATAATCTCCTAACGGTTTTGTTCGTTCACCAAAACTAGGTAAAGAGTACCAACATTTAATATTTTATTTAACATTTTTGTTACTGGCTGAACGATTGTTATATTTTCTACTGTCATCTTGTTTTCGTAATTGTACAAACTTCTATTAAATAAATAATTTTATACTCGCTGATTAATTTAATAATGAATGGAAGATTCTTTCGTCTGATACACTTTACCCGTAATCTTTCACAATAAAGTGCGCGACATATATTAAAATATTCATAGTTGCATGTAAATCTGCTCTGTGAATCAGCTGAG